TGCCGGGACCCTGCCGATCATCTAATGTCGGAAACACAGGCCCTGCGAAGACGCGAAGGCGGGCGGCGGCGGAGACTTCGAAAACGGCGTCAGCAAAGAGAAATCCAGCTTCGCCAGTAGCTCCGACCATTCCAGGCGCCGCATTCCGCGCTTCGGAGGCGTCCTTCTCCTATCGTAGACTGCGAAAAATGAAGAACATGGACACCTTGCGACCTGTGGAGAGCAGGGAGAAAATGTCACCATTGTGGGGTACATCTGGATTCACTGTTGGAGATGTACACCGCTATGATCCGGCAGGGAATCTGAAAAGTAAAGAGAAAGTGCCCGCCGATTACTCCGAGCCAAGTGTGGCCCTTATCAGATTCATCAAAGTGCAAGCTGCGGATATCCTTGACAGACGCAAGAAGACGCTGCAGCTGAGGCAAAAGTGCAGAGATATTGACGCGAGAGATGCTTTGATCAGAGCAAGAAGGAGAGCAGCCCGGTGTGAAACCCTGGCAAGGGCGTTTGAAGTGTCGAAGAGAGAACGACACGGCAAGTCACACAGTCGTCACACAGCCGCAGCTCCTCCGCCAGGAACAGAACCGCATAAAACGGCGAAAAAGACGGGTGCCTGTGGCGCGCATGAAAAGCACCAGCAACAACAGGCATCCCTGAAAGACACGCGACCCGACGGACACAACCGTGGCGACGTGCTGCACCAGCGAGCACCGGAGCTGGACCCATGGACGAAAAGTACTGTCGGCAAAATCCGATCGATGTTCAGTGAAATGCATGAGATAATCAGGGAGATGGAAGGCGAGTCAACAGATGATGGTGAAGAGAATGAAGAGGACATTAGGGAGTGGGAAAACCTACTCAGCGACATCACCTGGTGAGGTACGACCTTGATCAGTCACTCCGTTCGACACTGATGTGTGTGGGTGCGCGCGCGCGGTGTGTGTGTTGTGAACTGACACAGCCAGCACATACACGTACATGCATGTTGAAAGTTGTAGAGCCGGCGCAGTGTCAACCGTCTCTACTCTCCACGTACCCGTGAGCATGCTACTGTGCAGGAATCAGCAGTACCAACGTCCTGCAGCGGCGGCTTGCCATGATAGATTCACCAACTGACCAATACGCACAGTGCCAACAGCCCCGCTCAGGCTCTGGCTTGGCAATGTCAGTACTCAGTTGGTGCAAGCAACACACCTTGAAGGGACGGTGTATAATGCAGGCCAGGTGTGTATGTCTGCCGCATTGTTTAGCTTCACAGGCTCTGAATCTGACAGCGCAACCCCGCGCTGATACAACAGAACATGTCCCATTTTTTTTTGACTGTCACACTAGTTGGTTAGCCACTCTGAAAGCTGTACTTGGAAGTATCTGCCATCAGGGAGCTCATTAACTGGCTTCATGTCCACAGCCGCTAACCAGACATTATCCTGCTCTGACCAAGTCTTGCTAACCCAACACAAATCCGTGATGCTTCAACCGAACAAAACAAGAAAGGTTCTCCACGCAAATTGTCACAATGATCCATACAGGTGTACGTGACAACCGCAGTGACTCGTTTGCCGAGTATGTACTATAGTATTGTACACATGTACATGTAGTGGACTGTAATATTATGCAGTTATTTACACATCGGTCTCCTGATCATTATTGGCAATTTATTGCATGCAACTGTCACCGGGGCTGGCCATGCTTTAGTTGTTCGAGATGCGGTACATCAGGTGGGTGATGTTTGAATTCTATGGCATATGGTCTGAGTTCTTTCCTCGCTTTTGCCACGACTTTCTACAGCAAGAGCAGGCTCCGCAACCTGCACCTCACGTACATGTATATACAGACCGGCCGCATCCTTGAGACTCACAATGCCTTGCCTTGCTCATAATCCAGGAGTTGACTACAAGCGATGCTGTGTTTGTTTCGCCGAAATGCCCGATATTCTAACCAAAGCACTGACGCACAGCTGCTAAGAGAGCCGTTGTATGATCCACACCACCCACACGCACACAAATGAAGAGAGGGAGAGAGAGAGAGTGTGTGTGTCGGTGTGTGTAATTGTTTGCTTCGGCTTCTGCTGTAGCGTACCTATCGTAGCCTCCGGTGATGGGCTTTCCAGGTCAAAGCCAAGGGCGTCTAGCTGTACGAGGGGCAGCAACAGTTCAACTTCAACGTACTACATGATTGATTAGGTAACATTGCCGTTGGTCCAGGTCATCCGTCATAATAATAACATAAATCAATGGCAATTACCCGTCCATAATTTTTCCACATAATTACATACAAATTTCTTACATTACGAGTATATAGCACTCAATCAAACCAACCCCCCCTGCCTTTTTTCCTGTGTATTTTCCAACTGATCCAATTCCTTCCTCCTTCTTACGCAATCATACCACCTAATCACAACTATTCAATTGCGTCACTATGTCGACTGGAAATTTCAACCTCCCAAAATTAAAATTTTAATAAGATACCTCTTCCATAGACTGAAAATCAAGTCTGAATA